CTCCGAGTATTCAAATTCATACCATCACGCCTGAAGCCGACCTCATGTATGCCCGCCCTTCCTTCCGGAAGTTCCTTCCTTCCTTCCTTCGAAGACATGATTTCTCACACAAAATTTTTGTGGACACATCCGGAATTGAACCGGACACCTCTCGCAAACGAAAGCTCGCAACTGGAGATGCTAAGCGAGCGTGATAACCAACTACACCATGTGCCCATGTCGGGGTCTTGACTCGATTGTACAACAGGAAAGGTTTGCTTTCTTCGGGGACCTGCTCGGGGAACAAGTCATATGCAGAGCGGGAGCCAGATAGACAAGTAATGTTAGTCTCGCTTCTATTGTATTGCATTTTCCAGCACTTGTCGAGTTCCGCACGCTAACATCCGTGTCGCGTCCGCGGACCATTCTAGCATTATTGACGGCAAAATCGCGGGGTACAAGATCCCACTAAGTTCGAATTTCAGTCATTTACATGTACAAGATTCTTGTTCGCTACGTAAGCCTACGCTTATCGCCCTGAAAGGAACAAATCATCATATTCCATCCAAGTTCAACATATGCAAGTGCACGAACATTACCTCTCCAGCCTGTAGCTCAAGAGCGGTAGTTCAGAGTGACATGGCACGAGGAGCACCCGGCATTGTTCGTGCCATAGCTCCCGCAGGGATTGCAGTTGCTTAGGATCGTGTTGGCCGTATTGATGATAGTCTGGCCCGAGACCGGCTGCGCACCAGCGCCATTCGTAGCGTAAATCACTGCGGACGAATCAGCCTGCGCGCTCACGTCCCGAGCAAAAAAAGGACCCGGACGTACTGTAGCAATGCCCGACGGAGAACTGCGCCTGGTCAGAGTACGTGTCGCCGGCGACGACGCTGTTGATGGCGCTGCGGCAGTCGTCGTCGATGTCGGACGAGCAGAGGCCGCTGCCCTTGCAGTTGTTGCTGTAGAGCGCGATGGGGCTCGTGAGGTTGCTCGTAGCGGCCGGAGAAGCTGCGACTGCGGCGATGACGGAGACGAGAGCGACGAAGAAGGTCTTCATGGCTGGAGACTTGGTGAGTTTAGGTGCGAACGAAGATGACAATGCGCACTTGTGGTAAGGATGTCTGAAGGTGGGCACTGAACTGCTTGTTCTGCTTGTGCTGCTGCTTTAGTCTCTCTTCATGCTCGTTTTATAGGAGCGATGTATGGAGGGCGTTAAAGACATGCAGATGTGCGCACGGGCTGCCCTCTCCATGGTGCGAAGGAAATGTGAAGTCGACTCCAGCAGGTGGGCGGAACATTGATTGAAGTCGGACCCTCGTTCAATACGAGAGTGAGTGCACATCGTGACAGGCTATTTGGCGCGTGTACTGCGCATCCTGACGCTTCAAAGAGACGAATATTCGTTCGTGTCCGCGGGGCGCTGTGCGTGGGCAAGAATAACGCTGTCAATATGAGAATGGAATGAAGATCCCGTTGGGCCTATTCAAAGTGCTTGACAAAGGAGGGTGACTCGCATTCCGCTGACACCCTTCTGGAAGCATTGATGGTTTGCACTCGAGAAGATTGGGAGATACACAGGCAACTAGGGAAGCTCCCTGCACATGCGAAGAGCGCAGATAATACCGTGGCATGCTGTTGAGATGCATTCGAGTCATAGTTTGAAGTTCTAAAGCTTTACAGACGTCACGACTTCGGCGCCATAGTGTATAGAGCTGTACTGCGTACGCGTCAATCAGCACAATCCTAAAATTAGCAGACGCGCAGAACTTACGAACTGCACAAGCGAGATCGGCGCTGCACTTGAGCTGGGATCCGTTGGCGCGTCGCTGTCAACGGGCCAGTAGACCCCCATACGCAAGGAGTTACGAGGAGTGGACCATGACGTATGATGCAAACGTGCAGGAACTACACAATTTAAACGCTTTATAGCTTGTTGGGGGATTTCGAGCCTTATTGGAGGACCTGGAGGCAGGGCAGAAGCAGCGCTGTACCCGAACCACCGTGACATTAGCGCGAGGAAGAAGGTCCGACAGTGAACACTCGGACATGTGGTCTCCTCAGCCGTTAGTGGGGTGCGTGAAGGAGCTCACGACTACAGGGAGCCGTAGTGCACTCGCCTTACCTGAAAACGCTGGATGTGATCGAGGTTAAGATTGAAGAAGCTGGCGCGTATCATGTGCTCGTGACGAATATGCTCCACCGCCTCACCACGAGCCTTTTCCATAGAATCCTCGTAGCACTCGAAGGCCACCGAGCTCCTTTGAAAACCCAGGCCACTGCGCTCAGAAGCAGTCACGGGCACTTGGAACACTTTGCTATACTTCCACGCATTCCGAAGACTGTTTGAGGTACAGAGACTTTCAAACCGTTTGTTCGACCAATCGCCCGTGATCAAACCTAGAACAGTAAGTGATCATGAAACGTTTGCAAGAGAAGCGCCGTTTAGTCTACTCACAAATTGATCATAGAGAACATACAGGCTTACAGACTTGATGCTTCTAGTGTGCAGTGTCTTCGAAACGGAATACGACCAGTGACCTTGGTGGAGGAGAGGATACTTAATAAACAGTTTGCCACTGTCCGAGTCGTCTGCTACGGACGATCGGGAGTCGGGACGCCGGGGTGTTCCGGGCCGGCGCGAATAGACGCTGCAGTCCTGATCACGCTCCACGGACTTACTCATTGCTTGCCAGGATGCCGCCCTCGAGCCCATGCATCGTGCAACCCCCGCTGAAACTTCCCCCATCCTCAATCTTCGCCGCTATGCTACTCGTTTCGCCCTGGGACGGAAGCAAGTGGGCCACAGATTTCGAGCTGAATGACGTCAACGACGAGCTCTAGCTCTTATAAATCCGCCTTGGTAGCGGCAGACCAATACTGCCGTCCGACCGCGTCACCGTCAATATCGGCAGGCTGATAACAAACGCGTGTGTTTCAATCTGCTAATATAAAGGTGGGATTCGTCTCTGCCAGTGGGCGTACACAGTAAACTGACCACTTCGACAGCTCTAATGGCAAATATTCCGTACTTCACTTTCAATAACGGCCAGAAGGTGCCGTCTATCGGTATGGGGTGCGTTTTTCAGAGTTTCAGGAATATATTGTGTACGGGAACTGACTGATTGTTAATGGAAGTGCAGGTGCTGGATGGGGGACGTTGGAGGGGGTGAGCTTGTGAAAGACATGTGCACGAAGGCTTTGGCGGTAAGTTTATCTTTCGCGTTTGCTTTCCCGCTAGAATCTGACATTCACATATGGTAGGCTGGATACAGGCATTTCGATACAGTAAGTCGTGATGTGCGACGCGTTCCACAAATTCTTATTTTACTCCGTGATATAGGCTGCCGGATACGGTGCGTCGGAAAACTTGGACGGTGTTCTGACTATAGGTCACTGACATCCGATTTCATAGCGAACGAAGAGCAAGTCGGAAGAGCAATCCGCGAGTCCGGAATTCCGAGAGAAGAGCTCTTCGTGACGACCAAACTCGGGTATGTGAATACACGTTACTTCTATTCTACGAGTCAGTATACTTATCTCGAGAGAATCCTCTCAGCTTCGATCACTCCCACGTTCGCGAGTCCTTCGAAGAATCGCTTCAGAAGCTCGGGGTCGATTATATTGACCTCTACTTGATTCACTGGCCGAATCATATCGTGGATAGTATGTCTCATCCAACTGTAGTCCGTGACGCCTGACTGACTATGTCGCACTTAATCCAGGAAAGGCCTTCACACCAGAGGATTTCCCCACCATCGTCGACACATGGAAAGAAATGGAGAAGCTTCTCGACACCGGTATGCTTGCCATCACTCTAACATCTTCACCTGCCTAACTAACAACGCCACAGGCAAGGTGAAATCCATCGGCGTCTCCAACTTCTCCATCAAGACCCTCACCCAACTCCTCCCGCACTGCAAAGTGATCCCAGCAACGAACCAGGTCGAGCTGCACCCGTTCCTCCCGCAGCTCGATCTCAAAGCCTTCTGCGAAGAGCACGGGATCCTGCTCACGGCGTACTCGCCTCTCGGTAAGCCTCCTTCTATCCTTCCCATACAAAAACCAAATTAAAAAAATCAATTATGGGCGCGCGCAGGCCAGCCGCATCCAGAGAAGGAGTCCATCCCTGCGCTCTTCGCTGACCCCACGATCACCGGGCTCGCGGAGAAGTATAAGGCCACGATCGCGCAGATCCTCATCAGCTGGAGCGTGCAGCGCGGGGTCGTCGCCATCCCGAAGAGCGCCAACGCGGAGCGCATGAAGGCCAACATCACCGTACGTCTTGCCCTTTTCACTCACTTATCCTTGGATTTTGGTACTCACATCGGCACCGTGGCTCGCAGCTGGTGAAATTGGACGAGGCGGACATGACGGCGATCAACAGCATCCACGAGCAGCCGGGGAAGCACCGCCAGCTGATCGTGTACCCGTACTCGGAGCCGGGCGAGGCGTTCGGGTGGAAATATGAGTGGCTGGGGTGGAACAGGACGCCGGAGGGCGTCGTCATTGAGTAGGCTAGAACGTAGCACTCTGCATGCCCTTTGTAAAATAAAATGTACAATATTATAACCAAACCCTCGTGGACGAGTCACAGCCCGCAGTGACCGAGGTGCGGTCGAGTATCGGTCAGCTACGATCGGTCAAAGCTGGGAAATGAATAAAAAAAGAATGTCATCACCATGTCTGGACACAGCTATGCGATCAAGGCAAGTTCAATGAGGTCGATGACAGCTGTTTAGAGATCGATAGACCTCGTCGACAACTTTTTGCATAGTCGCGTGTCACAGGTTTCGCGCCCCGATTGAAGCCGTCAACGCCGCCCCGCGTGTCTGCCCATGCCAGTCGCAAAAGTCAGTAGGCGGAGCATGGAACTCTCCGAGCGCTCCTGATACGCGACTGTGCAAAAGAATTCTTGTGCGGTCTATCGATCTCTAAACAGCTGGAACTCCGAGTCTACTGCTTCGTATAGAGCTGTAATTATATAAAAATAAAGTAAAAACGAATGTAATCTCCATGTATGGACACATCCGGAATTGAACCGGACACCTCTCGCAAACGAAAGCTCGCAACTGGAGATGCTAAGCGAGCGTGATAACCAACTACACCATGTGCCCTTGTGTAATTATGAATTTTATAAATACATATCGTCAAAGACAGCACCGGCACCCGGACTATGGATCGAATACCATTGAAACTGCAAACCGCAGAGAGCAGCAGCACAACAAACGGGAGCGAAACAGATCATCGAGCGCTTACACCACACTGATCCGTATTTTTAGTACGAGTACAAGCCATGGAACATCCAATCATCATCCATACTATTCAAATCCAGCCCGATTCACGGTCTAGCAGATAGCAACCCAACCCGACCCAACCTAGCCTACACGTCTCTAGTACTCCGTGTCTCAGCCCCCTACAAGAAGTTGCCAGTCACTAGCTAGCATCCGATCCGTATCCGTCCAAGATATAGAAAAACACGCGGATCATAAATAGTCCCTAGAAGCTACACGGTATTTTCTTTGTGTGGATGATGGATGGTAGCCTACTGCTGCCCAAGATGCGTGTCGGCAAGCTCGCGTTCGAGCTCCGCGCTGGGGTCGTCCAGGACCGGGCTGGAGGCGCGCTCGCCCGCAAGCGGCGTCTGGCCCGAGTAGTACCCGGACGTCGCGCCGGGCTGGGCGTCTTCCTGGATCGGGGATGCCATCGGCTCGTCGCGCTGCGGCACGCTGAGCCTGAGCACAGAGATTGATAAATAATTCCTTCGTGGGAGATGACAGGGAGGGGAGAGACTCACGAGCGTGGAGCACCGTTCTTGTTGGCCTGTGCGCGGACTTCGGCGCGGAAAACGTTCACCTCGTCCACGATGAGCTTCTTCATGCCCTCGATGGTATCCTCCTCCTCGAAGCCGAAGTCGAATTTCTTTGAATTATTATCAGCATTGGAACAGAACATGAGAAGGAAGAGAAACGCACGGAGGGGCAGACAGGCTCGTCGGAGGGGTCGTGCCAGACGGCGAGGTACGGGTGCTCGAGCGCCTGGTCGCATGTGATGCGCTTCGCGGGGTCGAAGTTGAGCATTTTGGCAAGGAGGTCGAGCGCAAGGGGGTTTGCGTTCGGGAAGAGCTGCTGGAACGGCACGCGGGGCCGGATGGGCAGCGAGCGGATGTAATCTTGTGCCTGTCAGAGGGACACAATTTAGATGGGGAGGGGCTACGACTAAGGCAGCCACAAACGCGAGGGGATCCGACGCGGCGAAGGGTATCTTCCGAGGGGGTACCGAGGTAGTGCAGAATTTGGTTGAGTTGGTCGACATAGCTACGGGATCGTTAGTAATGGTATAGCTGACATAGGAATATGTAAGCTCACTCTCTTCCTTTGAAGATCGGCTTGCCGGCCAACAGCTCAGCCAGGATACAGCCAACCGACCAGACATCGATGGCAGATGCCTAGAATAGTGTGAGCAATGAGTAGAAATAAATTGTTTTTTGGGCTGTACATACGTAGTTGGCAAAGCTAAGCATGATCTCGGGGGCACGGTACCACCGGGTGGCAACATACTCCGTCATGAAGCCCTGCTTCTGAGACTGGTTGAAGCCACGAGCGAGACCAAAGTCGCAGATCTTGAGCTCGCAGTCTGCGTTCACCAGCAGGTTACCTGGCTTAAGGTCGCGATGCAGGACGTTCGCAGAGTGGATATATTTCAGACCACAGAGGGTCTGGTAGATGAAGGATTGGAAGTGTGCGTCCGAAAGCGGCTGCCCGGATCTAATCTGCGAACGTGGACGGTGGGTTAAAAATGCGTCAATCACCATATACGAGTTGGCGCACGATAGCATGCAGATCGGCTTCCATGAGCTCTTCCTATGAATGCGAATCACCGTTAGACGCGGCTAAATCATTTGGAGGAGTACGGACATAGAGGTACACTTCGTCAAAGTTGCCGTCGGGCCCGAAGACAATATCCATGTCATACAGGCAGGTAATCTAAGCGCCATTGTGAACATTCTTCAGAGCGTGGGTGCAAGACACTACTTACGTTCTTGTGCCTTCTGAAGTGATGCAAGAGCCTGGGACAGATCGGTGAGCAGATCGGACGTAAAGAGGAGTGCCGACGAAATCCCGCACTTGATTTCTCTCAGGCATCGTTTGGTCAAGATCCTCTGAGCAACAGACGGACGTAATCGCACCGCGTACTGGGCAGCACGCAGTATAAAAGCGCACCTTCGTGTTGATGTTTGTGATCTTCTTGATCGCGCAGCCCTCGCCCGTCTTGCGGTGCTTTGCGGCTACGACGCAGCCGTACGCGCCCTGGCCGAGTTCCTTCACGAACTGGTACTCCGAGTCGACGATGAAGGTCGAGTTGAGCGCGGTGAACGTGTGTCGCTGCATCGCGGGCAAAGGTTTGTCGTCTTCGAGCTTGGGGGTGAGTGCGACGATGTCGACGACGGGGGTGGGTGTGCTGGAGGGTGTTGGGGAAGGGGAAGGGGCGTTGGAACGGCTAGTAGGATGGGCGGAATGCTGTATCTGGCTTGCTGCAGTATGTACATCGATGGCCAAACAGCGCCACACAGCCCCGTGTAATCAGCATCGCTTTTACCTCCGTCCTTTTCTCTCCTCACTCACCGTGTCCGCAGGGGTTTTTGAAGAACTCTTTCACTGAGCTCACGCTGGCACAGAGGATGCCCATGGCGCGTCGCAGGCGTGTCATCACCCTCTTATGTATGTCCGGCAGGCCCGTTCGACGCCTCTCTTAGCCGTGCACAGCGTCCGTTGCCGCCAATCAATCGAAACGTCTCATTTCGCCCCGGAAATGATCTCGATTCTCAACGAAGCAGAGCATTTGCGCAACGTTTCTTCCGAGTGCTATGTTCTAGATGCGCGATGAAGATCCAATGCAGAAGAAGAGACGTCTTAGGCTGCCACCTTTGTAGGTGTTCTGACACAAGAAGGGCAAGTCTTCTACATACATAGGTGCCGGTCTAGTAGGTCTCCGTTCAGATATTGATCAGATTGTTGCACGAGGCCACTTGTCAGACCACTAATACCCCATCGACCAGACATCTACACGTTGTTAATGCATTCATGTACCGCATGAACCGGGTTCAAGGCATGTGTTCATTTCGGTCATTTGTCTTGCCTCGTTGTTTGACCTATTTAGATTGCACTCCAGAATCTAATAGAATGCTACGTCAACTTCACCCGATCTTCACCAGTACATAGTCGCCAGAGCTGTCCGGTATTCTACAAGCAGATCACGCCATCTATTCTCTTATTGCCGTTGCCTGTTTGGAAACTCAATTTTTTTTTTCGAACACCGGCAGCTTACCGTCGCGATAGAACTGGCCCGAACGTACGAACAAAGCCGGACGCAATGGAGAATTGACCCTATGTGTGTTCAACTCATCAATGGATCTCACCAGTAGATGATATATGTTAAAAGCTATGGTATAATATGGGCACATGGTGTAGTTGGTTATCACGCTCGCTTAGCATTTGACTGCGAGAGGTGTCCGGTTCAATTCCGGATGTGTCCACGTATGCCTGCCTTATGGTAATTTTTGCCTCAATTTTTTTTCAGTGTATACGAAGCAGTACACACTGGGGGAATGAGTCGATGCGATCCGAAATCAAATGTACGACAAATTCAAGAGAATGTCAATATTTG